AAAAGTGAAAGAATTATTTGAGATTGCCGAACGTGTGGGTAGGAAAGTACAAATGAATGAAATGAAAATTAGAATGAGTGAGGTTTTTAGGTCCCTTGGGAGATAGGCTAGATGGCCTTGTGATCAGAAAGTGATGCTTTCTCTAGAGTAGATTGATAGTCTGCCTTATAACCTTTTCCACTTAGAGTAGAAGAAGCATGATCAATGCATAAGGGGCAACTTATTGAATGTTGTGTGACTTTTGCTGAGGTGTTTCAGCCCTACATAGAGCAGCAATAGTATGTCTGATAGAACTGTGTGTATTTTTCCAGAAACATAACAGTTCAGTGATACAACCAGAGATAGAAAATATTGCTTTATTTTCAAAGCAGGCTATGACAATGAAAAGGACCTTAATGATTTTACTTAAAAAATGTGAAAGAAAAAACTTATGTCAGCTCTTTGCATGCTATTCAGAAGATTTTACTTATGCCTTCCGCATTCACCATGGTAAGAAGTTAGGTCAACCATAAATTAACTTTTCTTTTCATACATGTGTTGATTTCAGCTTTTTTCATTATTCTATTTTTCCCCTTGCATTTTGCATACCTGAAAAAAACAAGCCAACCAACCAAAAAATCAACCCAAAGAAACAATGTACAAGAATGTTTAATGACTGCTGGACTCTTATATCCGTTATGATTTAGGCACTTCAATTACTTTATCAAATTCAATTAACTGTCGGTTGGACTAATCTATAGTTGTATAACTGTTGTCAACATGAAAACTAAGTTGAGAAACAGTAATGTACGTATAGAATTTTATCTTTCCTATAGACTTTTAATTAAAATAAGATGGCATAATATCTGATGTAATTTTTCAGAGTTTACTTTGGTCAAAAGACATGGTCAAAAAATTATAATTTTTATTGTTTAAAATATAATAAAATGTGTCAGTCCAGTCTTCCTGTCTTACCTATTTAACTACTTCTAACATGTCTGTTGGCTGTCATCTGGGTAGATCTGTTTTGATTTGAACAAAATTTGATATGAATCTCTTAAGTGTTTAGAACGGAAGGGGAAAAAAAATTTTCAACAGATTTTAAGCAGCTTATTTCCTAGTTTTATTGGAAATCAACTTGACAAATAGGGTCCAAACAGAAAACCTTGGAACATCCTCCTCAGTCTCAACGACAAAAAAAAAAATCTATAAGACTCACAGATTTCTGTGTCTCCTGGGACAAAGCAGTGAAGGATGGCCAAAGGCAATCCACAGAAATAGTTTATCATGACACTGTCAAATGCTAAATGCAAAAATCCCTTGAAGTAAGGCAGGGACCTCTACTAGCCTCTACTAGGTCAAGGCTACAACATGCAGCAACCCAAACTATTATGCATACTCTCACAAGGTGACACTTAAGAACATACACAACTCATAACAAGGGTGGAATGGAAAGGTAGAGGGAGGAAAGAGCTGATGAGAAACATCACAAACGTGAATAGCTAAGTTTTAGAACTAATTTTATTTGGAGATAAAATCCAATATCTACACTCCAAAATGGTAGAATTTTTTGAGTCAGTCAACAAACTCTATCAAAGTTTGTTTCAGAACCAGTATGGTATTTTCATGTTAAACTCACCTTAGAAGTGAGAGCTCAGAGAAAGTACATATTGGGTCTGGATGCTTCTCAGTCTAAAGTAATTCTAGTCAAGTGCTTCATTTCTTCGTTGAAGTGCAGAGGAACACATTCAAACCTTCATCTTGTCTAGAATTCAATACAATATAAAACTATCTTAATAACTCACTTGTCTGCTATTCTAAACATCCTTTCCTTTCCTTTCCTTTCCTTTCCTTTCCTTTCCTTTCCTTTCCTTTCCTTTCCTTTCCTTTCCTTTCC